CGGACAAGTGAAGAAGAAGAACTACAACGTGAAAAGTAAAGGAACGGAGAAGTTGGAAACGTAAGTAAAAGTAATTTATTGTTTTATCATTATTCGTTTCACGTTGTAGTTCTTCTTCTTCACTTGCTGCTTGGTCCCGCGGTCACTTCCGTTGTGGCTTTTTAATGTGTTGTGGCTTTTGCGTTTGTGTTGTGGTTTTTGAATGTGTTGTGGCTTTTTGATGTGTTGTGGCTTTTTGATGTGTTGTGACATTTGCATTTGTGTTGTGGCCTTTTTGGGTTTATTGTGGCTTTTTTTGGTTTGTTGTGGCTTTTTAATGTGTTGTGGCATTTGCATTTGTGTTGTGGCGTTTGTATTTGTTGCGGCATTTGCATTGTGGCTTTTTTTGTTGTTTTGTGGCTTTTTTGGTTTGTTGTGGCTTTTTTTGGTGTGTTGTGGCTTTTTAATGTGTTGTGGCATTTGCATTTTGTTGTGGCGTCTGAATTAAAATAGAGTCCCGCGTTCATTTCAGTTGTGTCTTTTTTGGTGTGTTGTGGCTTTTTTAGTGTGTTGTGGCTTTTTTGGTGTGTTGTGGCTTTTTTAGTTTGTTGTGGCTTTTTTTTGTGGTGGCTTTTTGGTTTTTTGGCTTTTTGTTTGTTTGTGGCTTTTTTGGTGTGTTGGTGGCTTTTTTTTGGTTTGTTGTGGCTTTTTTAAAGTTTGTGGTTTTTAGTTTGTTGTGGCTTTTTTGGTGTGTGTGGCTTTTTTGGTTTGTTGTGGCTTTTTTTTGTTGTGGCTTTTTTGTTTGTTGTGGCTTTTTTGGTGTGTTGTGGCTTTTTTAGTTTGTTGTGGCTTTTTTGGTGTGTTATGGCTTTTTTGGTTTGTTGTGGCTTTTTTAAGTTTGTTGTGGCTTTTTTAGTTTGTTGTGGCTTTTTTGTTGTGTTGTGGCTTTTTTTTTGGTGTGTTGTGTTTTTTTTTGGTGTGTTGTTTTTTTTGTGTGTTGTGTTTTTTTGTTTGTTTGTTGTGTCTTTATTGGTTTGTTGTGGCTTTTTGTTGTGTTGTCGTGTTTGTATTTGTTGCGGCGTTTGCGTTTGTTGTGACTCTCGGCTTCAGTAGTGGAGAGACAGAGAGAACGAAAGAGACTGGGAGATGGAGAGAAGCGACAGAAAGAGGTAGAAAGAGCGAGAGGAGAGCGAGGGAGGAGAGAGAAAAGGACAATAGAGTTACATAATGGTCAGGTAAAGGGTGGAGAGAGGAACAAAAACACTTCTGTTCATTACAAGTCGCTTTAATCCGTCTTCTAATGCTGTTCCCTCTGCAAAAACACACCTGGACTTGTGTTTGTTTCATTCACACACAAAGTTTGAGTAACTCTTTATTATTATTAGTCTGTTTACATCTCCAAAGGTCGAAACGCTCTGCTCCACCCGGTGATGTCATGAGGCGGCAGTTTTGTAGTTTTCAAGTGAGCAGCTCCTTTTGTTCAGCCGAGATCGTCGACTCCAGGGCTCGAAATGATCCAAATGACTCCAGAAGTGAAGGCGTTTGGAGTTTAAAAACACAGTGGAGCGCTTCCTGTATTACCACGTGACATCACAAGGTGGAACTGAGTGTTTTCTGTTTGAGGGAAGAGCTCCAAAGCCAAAATCTGCAGGAAAATAGAGTCACACGGGCTCTTTAAAGGTGCATTATGTAACTTTTCTGGTGCTTTGAATGTCCCCAGTGTCATTATTATGTTTGTTTTTCTTTCTTTTTTATAGCATTAAAGAGCAGCCTGATTTTGATGGATAGATGTGATGTTGACATTAAACTCTGCGCCCCGGCCTCACCCTGTGCCCCGGCCTGACCCCGCTCTTGTGTTTTAACGATCATTTGGTTTTGTTTCGTACAGATTTACCCGTAATCCCGTGGGTGTGACACAGAGCCGCACAAACAGCTGTGGGAGGCTCAGCTCTTCAACGGGGCTCAGGCTGTCAGAGGCGTGCAGGTCTCACCAGGACACACACAATGCACCCGATGATGTGAGGTTTACAGCGGCCAAACGTTACCTAAACGTGCCCCTGAACGTGATCCGAACGTGATCCAAACGTGATCTGAACGTGCCCCTGAACATGATTTGAATGTGCCCCAAATGTGACTCAAATCTGATCTAAACGTGATCAAAACGTGACTGAAATGTGCCCAAAATGTGATTCAAACATGATCTTACTGTGCCTCGAACATGATTGAAACTTGATCCAAATGTGCCCCTAAACGTGCCCCAAATGTGACTCAAACATGATCCAAACGTGCCCCAAATGTGTTCCCAAAGTGACCCAAACATGCCCCAAACGTGACCTGAACATGCCCTAAACGTGCCCCACATGTGACCTAAATGTGCTCTAAATGTGACCCAAATGGACCAAAACATGCCCCAAAGGTGACCCAAACGTGCCCTTAACGTGACCCAAACGTGCCCTAAACATGACCAAATGTGCCGTAAACATGCCCCAAATGTACCCCAAACTTGACCCAAATGTGTCCCAAACATGACCTAAACATGATCGAAATGTGACCCAAACGTACTACCAACGTGACCCAAATGTGCCCCAAATATGACCCAAAACATGTCCCAATCATGCCCCAAACATGACCCCAAATGTGCCCTAAACATGACCCCAAAAATGTCCCAAACGTGTCCTAAATATGTCCCAAATGTGCCCTAAACGTGCCCCAAACATGACCTAAACATGACCGAAACGTGACCCAAACATACGACCAACGTGACCCAAATGTGCCCCAAATATGACCCAAACATGTTCCAACCGTGCCCCAAACATGCCCTAAACGTGACCCAAACGTGACCCAAACATGACCCCGACCAGCCAGTGTCAGAGCAGGTCAGAGGCTTGTGGTTTGTGGTTTGGAGCGTCACACGATGAGGTTTGTGCTTTTTTTGTCTCAACTAGATTTAACTAATGAGTAAGAATTTGTGCGTTTGCATTTCCCCGAGAACAGTGTCCAAGTGTCCCCTGTGTCCTGTGTCCAGTGTCCATGTGTCCAGTGTGTGTCCTGTGTCCAGTGTCCTGTGTCCAGTGTCCAGTGTCCAGTGTCCTGTGTCCAGTGTCCAGTGTCCTGTGTCCTGTGTCCTGTGTCCTGTGTCCAGTGTCCAGTGTCCAGTGTCCTGTGTCCAGTGTCCAGTGTCCTGTGTCCAGTGTCCAGTGTCCTGTCCAGTGTCCTGTGTCCTGTGTCCAGTGTCCTGTGTCCTGTGTCCAGTGTCCAGTGTCCTGTGTCCACTGTGTCCTGTGTCCAGTGTCCAGTGTCCTGTGTCCTGTGTCCTGTGTCCAGTGTCCAGTGTCCTGTGTCCAGTGTCCAGTGTCCAGTGTCCAGTGTCCAGTGTCCAGTGTCCAGTGTCCTGTGTCCAGTGTCCAGTGTCCAGTGTCCTGTGTCCAGTGTCCAGTGTCCTGTGTCCTGTGTCCAGTGTCCTGTGTCCTGTGTCCAGTGTCCAGTGTCCTGTGTCCAGTGTCCAGTGTCCTGTGTGTGTCCTGTGTCCTGTGTCCTGTGTCCTGTGTCCAGTGTCCAGTGTGTGTCCAGTGTCCAGTGTCCAGTGTCCTGTGTCCTGTGTCCTGTGTCCTGTGTCCAGTGTCCAGTGTCCTGTGTCCACTCTCTGGACAGTGGGACAGTTGGACTCTGGTCAGTTGTGAAACATGTGGACGTGTTTATGTCAGGGGCCTGTGAGACTCAAACCCGTGTGACCCCGACGAGACGTCCAGACGCTCGTCATTCATCAGTGTTTCCACGGTGACGTCAGGAAGGTCGAGAACTTGTATAAAATGCTGTTCCCATGTCCCCACAGGTTCTGGAGACACGACCCGGTGGACTTGAGCCACTCACTCTGATATTATGATTAGGGGTGTCAAATTATTGCGCTAATTGCGATTAATTAATTACAGTCATATTTTTTTATGTTTTTTTAATCGCGTTAATCTTATTTTTAATCTCTAACTTTACTGTTTCTGTACGAGTTGCCTTATTATAAAATCTGTTTTTATGTGTTGGACAACAACACGTCGCTCCCGCAAAGAATTGTAATTTTCATTCTCGTTCTCGCTGCGTCTGTGATAAACCTGCACACGTCTGATCTGAAAACATCACGACACAAACAGAACAGACTCACCTTCAGCAGAACCTCCCTCTGTCACAGAAAGAACATCGATATTCCACTGAGTCGTGTCCTTGAGTCCGACAGAAGTTGAACTGCATCAGCGACACAAGCGTTTGTTTTTTTTTTCTTTTCTGGCTTAGTTTATGCAAATGAGTCATGTGGTTTTTAGTTTAGTTTCTGTGAGACTTGAACAAATCTGCATAAAACACATTATAATGTCAAATGTTTATATGTTGTAAAGTTGAGTTTATTTATGCAGATTAGTAATAATAACATAACTCAAAATGTATCTTTTTAATTTAGCTTTTAATTGAAACTTTTACTTGTTTTATCAGTATTATTATTATTATTATTATTATTATTAGCTTTTAATTAAATTACCATTTATATTTTATTTAGTCTCCATCTGTTTTTAGCTCTCCATTTATATTTTTATTATAACCTTTAGGAGCTTTATGTTTATGTTTTATTCTTGTATATATGAAATAATGGGGGGGGGGCTGCTGTTATTTTTAATATTGTAATTTTTTCTGTTGCATGTGAAGTACTTTGTGCTACATTTCAAATGTATGAAAAGTGCTATACAAATAAAGTTTGATTGATTGATTGATAATGATGTTACTTATATAACGTTGATAGTAGGAAAATAATGTAATAATGAATTCAAATTAAAATACTTCAAGTTGAAGGTTTTTCTCAGCAATTTTTAGGTGAGATTAAAAAAGAGATTAATTAATTGCAGATCATAATTAATTAATCTCGCTTGACAGCACTAATTATGATGTCAGATGTGTTGCCGATCGTTGCCGCTTGCGGGTAAATGTTACATTATTTATTATTTTAAAAAAGACACAAAAAAAAAGGACAAAAAGTTGTGAGATCAGAATAGTTTATTGAGGGTTACAGACAGTAGCAGCAGGGCTCTGGTCCAAGTGCTGAACTCCACTTTGTACAAAAACTCAAACATTTGATGTTTTTATTTTACGGCTCATTCAAGAGAACGACTGTCTGTGCTAACGCTAACGCTAACGCTAATGCTAATGCTAAAGGCAAAAATATATAAACGTCAACATTTTCTCTCGAGGAAAAACAGCAGGTTATTTATTCTCTTAAAAATAGATCATCATAAAAATCTTTTCTTTTTTCAGAGATGTTTACAGCTCGTGTGTGATTCTAAAGTTAAAGTCGTGGCAAAAACGCACAATAAATACAAACAAATAAACAAACAAACAAACAAACACGTGAGAGCGCGAGTCACAACAAAACCGCGCAAACGTTTAACGGGATTTAAAGAGAAACAACCAGTTTAGACCTGGTTTAGTCCTGGTTTAGACCAGGTTTAGACCAGGTTCTAGTTGTGGATTTGAACAACTGATCTAGACCTGGTTTAGTTCTGGGCTAGACCTCGTTTAGTCCTTAGATAGACCTGGGTTAGTCCTGGTTTAGTCCTTGGATAGACCTGGTTTTGTTCTGGTCTAGACCTGGTTTAGTTCTGGTCTAGATCTGGTTTAGCCCTTGGATCAACCTGGTTTAGTTCTGGTCTAGACCTGCTTTAGTCCTTGGATAGACCTGGTTTAGTCCTTGTTTAGACCTTGAATAGACCTGGTTTAGTCCTTGTTTAGACCTTGGATAGACCTGGTTTAGACCTGCAGATAAGATATGCTCTAGTCCTCAGTAAATCCTGGTTGGATCCTGGTCCAGTCCTGGTTTATATCTGGTTCAGTCCATTTGACTCTCCCGTTCTCTGTAGAAACTCATTTAGTCTCTTTAGTCCTGGTTTAGTAATTCAATAACAAATAATAAAATCTGTGTTTATTCAAAGTTTACAACGGAATTTATAATAATCCCGACTAAATCCTGGTTTATAATTTGATTTCTAATGAATAAAAGTTTGTCTTTAAAGTCTTAGTTTATTCAAATCCTGGTTTTGTTCATTTCTTACTTCGTCTTTTTCTCGTTTTATGAATTCAAATATTCTTAATCTCTTGGTTTAGTCCTGGTTTAGTCCAAGATCAGACCTGCTTTAGTCCAGGTTTAGTCCTACACTGATCCTGGTTTCACTTCTGTTCCGTTGATCCTGGTTTAGTCGAGTCTAATCCAAGTTTACTTTTGGATCTTGAAGTCCAGGTTTGATCCAGGTTCAGTCCCTCCTCCGTCTTTTTCTATACAACTTTATTTTACGTTTAAATCCGGATTTAGGATTTAGAATAAAACATTTTCCGCGTTTCTGTCTGGGTTTAGACTCGGTTCTGGTTTAGACCTAAAATTCATTTGTTACTCCCACATTTTCTCGTTGGATTTTATGAATTAAAATCGTCTTAATCTGTGGTCCTGTTTAGACCTGTTTTAGTCCAGGTTTAGTCCTAAAAAGTCCTGGTTTCACTCGAGTTCCTTTAACGTTTTATTACGTTTCATTTCATTTAAAAAACTGTAAATTTAAAGAGTCAAATGTGTGTTTAGACCTGGGCCAGACCTGGTTTAGTCCTTGGCTAGACCTAGTTTAGATCTGATTTAGTTCTGGGCTAGACTCGGTTTAGACCTGGTTTAGTTCAGGGCTAGACCTGATTTCGACCTGATTTAGTCCTTGAATAGACCTGGTTAAGTCCTTGGCGAGAGACCTGGTTTAGACCTACTTTAGTCCTTGGATAGACCTGGTTTAAATCTGGGCTAGACCTGGTTTAGACATAGTTAAGTCCTTGGATAGACCTGGTTTAGTTCTGGGCTAAACCTGGGTTAGTCCTTGGCTAGACCTGGTTTAGATCTGATTTAGTTCTGGGCTAGACTCGGTTTAGACCTGGTTTAGTTCAGGGCTAGACCTGATTTCGACCTGATGATTTAGTCCTTCAATAGACCTGGCTTAGTCCTTGGCGAGAGACCTGGTTTAGACCTGGTTTAGTTCTTGGACAGACCTAGTTTAGATCTGCTTTAGTTCTGGGCTAGACCTGGTTTAGATCTGATTTAGTCCTTGGATAGACCTGGTTTAGACCTGGTTTGTGCCTTGGTTAAACCTGGTTTAGATCTGCTTTAGTTCCAGGCTAGACCTGGTTTAGACCTGATTTAGTCCTCGGGTAGACCTGGTTTTTTCTTGGCTAGACCTAGTTTAGACCTGCTTTGGTTCAGGGCGAGATCTGGTTTAGATCTGGTTTAGTTCTGGGCTAGACCTGGTTTAGACCTGGTTCAGACCTGGTTTAGTCTGTAGATAGACCTGCTTTAGACCTGATATAGTCCTTGGATAGACCTGGTTTAGAGACCTGGTTTAGTCCTGGTTTAGTTCTCGTTTTGAACCAGTAACTTTAAAGAACCAAACATGTTTTTTTTCCATCAGATTTCGTCTAAATCCGTTGAAACGTTTTGCAGTTCCGTCGTTTCTCGGCTTCGCGCTGGTCGTCGAGTTTTATTTTACGCTTTAATTTTTTTAGTGTTTAGCAAAAATACAGTTAGAGAAAAAACATGCGAGGAGAAAAATGTGGGTCCGACATCGCGGTCGAGCTGCGGGCGTCAAAAAACTCCACACGAGTTTCAGAACAGGAATGTGGACGGCCAAAAGTGTAAGAAAAAAAACAAAAACGAGAGGATTTCTGGGGTTTTCTGGGAGCCGCCTGTGAGCCGCAGCTGCTCCTCGGCTCCTGCGTGTCAGACTACATTTCCCACGATGCACCTCACCTCGTTTACGCTTTGGAGGAGATTTCAAAAAGACGTCGAGACAGAAACACAAACGGTTTAGGGTCAAGTGAGCGGATTTTCTCAAGTTTTTTTGATTTTAGTTCGTGAGAAACGGTTCAAGTCCCACTGTAGACCTGGTTTAGTCCACGTCCAGACCTGGTTTAGATCTCGGTTTAGTCCTGATCTTTGTGGTTCTTTGAGGAACAGTCGCAAGAATCTTTTCAAATAGTTTTAGATCCACTTTTATGGCACATTTTTTTATTTAAAAAAAAAACAATAATTAAGTTTGAAACGAGTGGAAAAGAATCATGACTTTGAAATCTTTTAATTAAAGCTCCACTCTGCAACTTTTCCAAAGGACCTGATTTAGACCTGGTTTAGTCCTGGTTTAGACCTGGTTTAGACCTGGTTTAGACCTGGTTTAGTTCCTGGATAGACCTGGTTTAGTCCTGGTTTAGTCCTGGTTTAGTCCTGGTTTAGACCTGGTTTAGACCTGGTTTAGACCTGGTTTAGTCCTGGTTTAGACCTGGTTTAGACCTGGTTTAGACCTGGTTTAGTCCTGGTTTAGTCCTGGTTTAGTCCCTGGTTTAGACCTGGTTTAGACCTGGTTTAGTCCTGGTTTAGTCCTGGTTTAGTCCCTGGTTTAGACCTGGTTTAGACCTGGTTTAGACCTGGTTTAGTCCTGGTTTAGACCTGGTTTAGTCCTGGTTTAGTCCCTGGTTTAGACCTGGTTTAGACCTGGTTTAGACCTGGTTTAGTCCTGGTTTAGACCTGGTTTAGTCCTGGTTTAGTCCTGGTTTAGACCTGGTTTAGTCCTGGTTTAGACCTGGTTTAGTCCTGGTTTTCAGTGTGACTCCGGTGGTTCTGTTCCACCTCGTGACGTCATGAAGCCGTCGTTTTTTTGTTTTTTTTAAAGAACGTCGTCGGCGAAGTGTCAAGACTCAGATTCGAGTTTGAAACCGACGAGAAATCTCCCCCAAAGTTCAGGAAAACCTGGAAGCGCCCGTTTCCGATGTCACTACTTTTATTCCTCGTGGTGTTTTCGTTTACAAAATGAAATCATGGCGTTTACGGTAGAATCACGTCACTGGAGAATCTGCTCGCGGTTTCTACGGTTTTACTGGGTTTTTGGGGAGTTTTTGGAGAAGCGGGAGGTCGGACACTGAGCGCTGAAGGGACAGAGTTGGAGACGTAACACTGTTGTGGGTGGAGAGGAAGAGCGAGGGAGGAGGTGGAGGAGGTGGAGGAGGAGGTGGAGGAGGTGGAGGTTGAGGGTTGGATTCTCAGGGTTCGGTCACGGCGCTGGGCTCCTTCTCGTAGATGTAGCTGCCCACGCCGCCGGTGTTCACGCCTGAAACGAGCACAAGCACAGAGGGACAAAAACCAGGGTGAGAACGAGGCAAAAGGCAAAAGGTCAAAGGTCAAAGCAGAAAAACAGGAGAAGCAGAGAAGAAGAAGAAGAAGAAGAAGAAGAAGAAGAAGAGGAGGAGGAGGAGCAGAAGGTTTGAGACGAAGGTGGGCGACACTTTTAATGCAGTTTGGTTCTACTGAGATATAAAATTATTATATATTATTATATCTTACGCAAAAGTGACTCTTGTGAGGTTTAAGTCGTCTCCTCATGTTGTTCGATCTGTGTGTCGTTTGTAAATTTGTTTTTCAAAATAAAACTAAAAATAAGAAAACGAAAAAAACAAAAAAAAGACCAAATATTTTCTTCATTATTTGTCTCCAAAACCAAAGTTTTCGATTTTGACTGAATCACGACTGAGGACTAAACCAGGACTAAACCAGGACTAAACCAGGACTAAACCAGGACTGAGTGTCTGACTGACTGGGGTTCTGCCTTTCAAGTCCAAGATTAGTCCTGGTTTTAGCCCCGTTTTAGTCCTGGTTTAGTCCTGGTTTAGCCCCATTTTAGTCCTGGTTTAGTCCTGGTTCAGTCCTGGTTTAGTCCTGGTTTAGTCCCATTTTAGTCCTGGTTTAGTTCTGGTTTAGTCCTGGTTTAGTCCTGGTTTAGACCTGGTGTAGTCCTGGTTTAGTCCTGGTTTAGTCCTGGTTTAGACCTGGTGTAGTCCTGGTTTAGTCCTGGTTCAGTCCTGGTTTAGTCCTGGTTTAGTTCTGGTTCAGTCCGTTATCCGTTTTTTTTTTTTTTTTCATTTTTCATTTAAACACAAAATCAAAAACTGAAAAAACGAATCATGATCTGTTTTTTTTTTTCATTTTGGTTTTGGAGACAAAGAATGAAGAAAATAGTTGTTTTTTTTTCTTTTCATTTTCTTATTTTTGGTTTTATTTTGAAAAACTCATCGTAAAAGTGCAGTTTGTTTTGTGCGTTAAACTTGTGCGAATGAAACAAAACACATCTCCAGGTTTGTTTGTGACGAGAAAACGACATTAAGCTTTTTAAACTCGTCTTTCCCGGCAGCTTTGGTGTTTTGCATTGACAGAAATTCAGGAGCATTTGCATCTTCCAGTTTTCCATATGTAAAAATTCAAAACACATTACGCAAAATAGAGTTTTTTTTTGAGCTTTTAACCAGGAAAGAACAACGTCGCCTTATCAAAAAAAAAAAAACAAAAAAACGTGGAGCTGTTTTTTTTAAGTCTGAGTTCGGTTTGTGGTTTTGAGGATTAAAAACAAAAAAATTCAGTTTCTACAAGACTTAAAAACAGCGTAATTAGAATTAAACTCAAGTGAATTTTCAAAAACAGCTCAGATATTTTATAAAAGCAGCTCTTGAAATCAAAATAAGTGCTGTTTAACTGTAATTATGAAGCGTTTTTTGTCAGAGAATCACTGCTTTTAATTCTCGTCGAGTGAGTTTAACCTGAATTTTTTGAAAGTCTGTGGTTAAAGTTTCCCCCCAGTAGAAGCAGAAGCAGCAGAAGTAGAAGTCGTGAGGTCTTAAAGTGGTTTTGCAGTGACACGGAGATTAGATTAAGAAACTCTGCGGCGTGTGAGCGACTCGTGCAGAATCCGGACGCGCCCGGTTTAACGTTCAGGCCGAGAGCGGAGAGACGGAGTTGAAGCGGCGGCGCCCCCTAGCGGTTACCTTTGGGCCCGAACAGAACGGCGTAGCAGGGTTTGTGGCAGTACGGCATTCCGTCGTGCTGAAAAACAAACAACAACAAGTCAGATTTACACTCAGGTTTTTTGGTAACACTTTATAATAACTACACCTTATTTAGCCTTAATAAAGCATGAATAAAGACTTAATTAATAATGATTCATGCTTAGTAAATGCTTAATAAAGGATAGTTTGTCTTCACTTTAGAAAATCTCTCAAAAAGACTAAACTAACAGATAACAGCTGCCTGAATTATCATTGCATTTCATTATTAGTAAATCATTCTCTCATAGTTTACTAATGATTAATAAATGGTTAGTTCATGAGTAATTATGAGTAACTATAAATAAATAATATAAAGTAAATAAATAATTATGAGTAACTATTTACAGCACAGGCAAATTAAGTGCAAGTGCTAATTCAGGTAGTACTTAAGTAGTTACTAAGTGTGAATCATTATTAATTAAGTCTTTGTTCATGCTTTATTAAGGCTAAATAAGGTGTAGTTATTATAAAGTGTTACCAAAAAACCTAAGTCAGATTTACGCTCAGGTTTTTTGGTAAAACTTTATAATAACTACACCTTATTTAGCCTTAATAAAGCATGAACAAAGACTTAATTAACAATGATTCAAACTTAGTAAATGCTTAATAAAGGATAATTCATCTTCACTTTAGAAAATCTCTCAAAAAGACTAAACTAACAGATAACAGCTGCCTGAATTATCATTGCATTTCATTATTAGTAAATCATTCTCTCATAGTTTACTAATGATTAATAAATGGTTAGTTCATGAGTAATTAAGTATGAAATAATTATGAGTAACTATTTACAGCACAGGCAAATTAAGTGCAAGTGCTAATTAAGGTAGTAATTAAGTAGTTACTAAGCGTGAATCATTATTAATAAAATCTTTGTTCATTATTAATTAAGCCTTTGTTCTTGCTTTATTAAGGCTAAATAAGGTGTAGTTAATATAAAGTGTTACCAGTTTTTTTTTAATAGTTTTGTCACAATATGAACTTTTCTAAGGCACAGACTCGATACTCGATACTGATCCCACGATGAGAATAAAAACCTTTCTTTAATGATTTCATAACATTAGAAATAGATTAATACAGATTAAAAGAGTAAAACTGAAACTGAAACTATATTTTTAGGAGTCGTGATTGATGAAGCTCTAAACTGGAGTTTGTGAAATAAATAAATCAAATAAAATAAAAATAAATAAATAAATAATAATAATAATAAATAAATAAATAAATAAATAAAAATAATTAAATAAATCAAACTATAGGCATAATTTCCAAAGTGATTGCTGTGCTGTGGTGAAGAAAAAACAAACAAACAAAAAAACAAAAAACCCAAACCAAAAAAAAAAAAAAAAATAAAAAATACAAGACTAGAAAACCAAGTGTACGACCCTTAGAAAACAGTAACTGTAACAAACAGACTCAACGGCTTTTGTAAAGTTTGAAGTTCACACGTTTTTACAAACCAAACTAAAACTGGAGGTAAATCTGTCGTCAGCAGTAAAACCGGGAGCGTCTGTCATGTCCGACGCTCACGTGTACGAGTCTGTGTGTGTTTACGGACCAGGTCGTTTAAAGGCTCATTTCTCTCCCGTCAGTGGGACTTTTTTAAAAATCGAAACCTGAAAAATGAGGATCTAGTTTTGATTCGAGTTTTAGTGTTGATTTGGAGGTGAAGTGAAAACCATTTCAGGAAATTCATCATGAAACTGAGAGAAGGTCAAGGGTTTAGAGTTGGAATGTAACGATATCCAAATCACTCGATATTCATCTCACAGTACGATATTTATTACAATATTTTAGGCAGGCTGATGTAATTGTAGATGTGACACTTTTTTACTTTTAAAATACCTTCATAAGATTTCGGTGTGAATTATTTCCATCATAATCCCAAGAATTCAAGTAAAAAACATATTTCTTCATGGTTTCTGTGCTGAAATGCATCATGGGAAATGTAGTTCCTGATGTTTATTTGCTGTTGCTTCTATAAAACCATGAATTTAAGCAAAGGAACTTGGGATTTGAAATATTGTGACAGTCCATGATGTGATTGTGAGACTTTTATTGCGATATTTTGGTTATTATTGAGTCTCTAGTTTAAAGCACTGCTACATCATTCCATAAACAGTATCTCATGTCATATAGTTGGTGGCTTCTGTGTTTATAAAATGTAAAAAGTTTTAAACATAAAGACAAACAACAGTGAATGAGGCTGAGTCCAAATGTTTCCCTGGTCACACGTGATCATAAACTGTAGTGTCGATGATGTTTAACAAACTCAGACTGAGACACAGACTCAAGTCTCCAGACGGTGCACAGGTCAGAAAAACACGTCTCAGATTCACAATATTTGACTGAAACAGCAACAAATGTGTTACATCAGTGATAAGAAGTGCAGTGCTGCCCCCTGCTGTCCAGACTGTGAAAAAAGTGCTACAGCCAAATGTGACCAGTGGAATAAAAAGAGATTAATAATAGAAATAAACTCACAAGCTCTAAAAAAACATAAAATAAAGTAACATAAAATAAAATAAAAAACCTAAATAAATAAATAAATAAAATAAAATAACCTAAAATAAAATAAAATAACCCAAATAAAATAACCTAAAATAAAATAACCAAAATAAAAAAATAAATAAAATAAAATAATAACCTAAAAATAAAATAAAATAACCTAAAATAAAATAAAAAATAAAAAATCTAAAAAATAAAAAATAAAAAAAATAAATAAATAAAATAAAATAACCTAAAAAAAAAAAAAACATAAAATAACCTAAAATAAAATAACCTAAAATACAATAACCTAAAATAAAATAACCTAAAATAAAAATAATAGTAGTGTTAGATTCTGACCTCTGCGTGACTTCCTGGGGCCAGAGTTTTGCTGCAGCGTTCACACCGCAGACACGGCCTGTGCCAGTCTTTCCCCAGAGACGTCACCTTCTCCGCTACAACAACAAAACAGCAACAACAGAGACAGAAAACATCATCAGAAACATTTTTAAACATGTAAATATGACAGAGAGATGTGACCTGCTCTGTAATCAACCCTCTGGAATCACATTCAGACTGAAACTTCTCCACGTCTGATCAGAGATTTAACCCTTCCAGACTTTTCCTGGAAAAGCTGAGTTGCTTTTTGAGCGTATTTCCGGCATTATAAGACAAGTGTCCAATAGGAACTTTGTTTTGGTCCAAACTCCTGCGCTCCGTCCATTTTGTTTGGTCTAAACTTTGCCAAAGAGTGAAGTGAGTCAAAATGTTCGATGTTCTGAGCGTCTGTGTTCAGAACAAGTGTAAAAGTCGCTCTAAGTGCAGAAATTTTTCACATAAATGGACAAATTACACATCTTGGTCTGAGTAATTGTGCATCTCTTGTTATTTTTATTTGTATTTGAGTCCAAATGTCCAAATCCAAATGTAATAAACTCATGTAAATGTAGAAGTGATGTGACTCTGTGACCTGGACCTGACTCCAGCTGTTTCCACGACCTGCACCAGTCAAGTCATGAGGACACTGCACTTTTTTTGTTTTTGTTTTGAGGCAATAAGGAGAATTTGAGTTTATTTTCAGACTTCATATTTTATACTTTTGTAGCTAAGGCCAGAAATTAAACATGTTTGCTGTTTGTTTTGTATGAAAGGGTGTGAATTTTATTTTTCGTTTTTCTTTATATTTGTGATCCTGTGGTTTTTATTAAAGTGATATGACACGACTCCAGCAGCAGATTGTGAAATAACAGTTTGTAGTGAAAAAAATGATGTATAACACTTCATTTGGGGGTAAAAGGAGCAGTTTTAATAGAAAAATTAAGATCCAGGTGAGGACAAATGTACTAAAACTGCCCTCAGGTCTGGAAGAGTTAAGTTCACGTCTGAGGAAAGTGCAGGACTCACCAAAATAAACCTTCTTGTTGCACTTGGGACACAGGTTGGCCTCTCCAGAGAAAGTGGTGATGCTCCCGGCTGAACGACAGAAAAAAACAAAACACGTTTAATCTGAGTCACAGAAAAACAAAAGAGTTTATCTGAACATCACAAACACAAACCAGTTTCTATCAGGATTATTCTGATCTAATGTCATTTAAACTCAAACCCTGTAGTTTAAACTTC